CACGAGACACAAGCGCGGACTGGCTGAGGCGGCCATGTGAGACCACATCGAGGTGAGAGCAACACTTGCGCAAATTAATGGAGCGGGGTCGGACCCTGGCAGCCTGGGCGATGCGCTCCCACCGGCCTCTCTGAAGCCCTCTGGCTCCTGGACCGTGCCCCTGAACCGCCCATCAACAACTACCAGGCAGTTGGCATGCGCTATCAGAAGTCTTTCGGTCAGGCGGACACGCTACCGCGACGCCGCAAGATCGGCAGTAGGAGCGTTCCCCAAGCCTTCGTTGTGATTTACGGCTCGCAGGAAATATCGCTGCATGCCGAGCCCAGCACCGTGCTCCCCTGCACTGGTCAACGAACTCACCGCACTGTATAGTAAACCACGATGCGCCCATTGAAATAACACTGATTTCCTGTGTAATATTGTTGGCTGGCGTCTCTGCCGCTTTGTCCCTGCTGAGCGCTTCTGTCCTTCATTGCAGTCACTGAGCTGCGTGGAGCATCGCAGCTGACCGGATACCTTGTTGCATCTGCTCCTCCTCGTCACGATCACGAGGCCCGCGGGAAACCCATAACGAAGTGGCGATGGGTCGCCATTCGCCTCATCTGCGCTGACCACCTCCCGGGTGCGCCCCTGGGCCGTGGCCTCACTGATCCTGGCGGCGATGCAGGATCTCTGCTCGCGCTTCGTGGTGCCTCCCGTCTCCAGCATATCGAAGCTGACGGCGCCGACACTTCCACCGCTTATGCTTGCTCGCGCCAGCCAGTGCTGCCTGTATCAACAAGTCCTCCCAGCAACATCTCTTGTGGTAGTGGGTGGGGTCGCGGGTGATGAACCAGCCCTGCTCAATGTCTTACCCGCGCGCAGGCGTTCAAGCCTCCTTCTCTTCGCCACTTGCCGATCAACCTCACACACGGCTTGCAAGACCCTCGCCCGCCACGGTGTCATGATGACCCAATCGCCTTGCGGGCTCACTGAAAATGATTCTGGAACTCCTCGTGTGAGCCTGTGCATGCGCCATATCAGCTCCTCTTCGACCAGGACGCTCCCCAATGTGATCGGCACGTTGTGCGGGCCTTCCGCGTGACCCTCCCGCAGAGCTGCTGGCCCTCTCGTGACCTCGTCGGATATCGAGTTCATGGGCGACGATATCATCCGTCCAACAGCCGAATTCGCTACAGAAGGCTCCTCGCAGACTACGTGCCCAAAACGTAGCGGGATGATGCGGGATCGATATGGCAGTACCTTGCCATGCGCTCCGTAAGACCTGGGACCCGACCGCGCAAGCTCGTCGTTGACAACGTCAACCACGGCGGCAGCTACCGCCGGCGACCAACGACTACAACAACACCTGGTGACGGCGGCGACGGCGGAGAAGAGCGACGACCTACGATGACCGACGACGATGACGACGGGTCCATCAGAGGAACGAACACGGTATAAATCAGAGTGAGGGGGCCGAACGGTCATTCACTATCCCTGGACGCCTGGCTGAAGTGAGGTTCTGCGGTGCGGATTGTTGTGGTTGCTGCTGTCGATGTTGATGTTGAATGTTGTTGTTAAGCTGTTGTTGCTGTTTGATGTCGTCGTCCCCCCCGCGACCCCGCCCGCGACCCGGCCCGCGACCCGGCCCGGGACCCACTGGCGACCCACTGGCGACCCAGTGGCGATCCACCCGTGACCCACCCGCGACCCACCGCGCGACCCACCCGCGAACCACCCGCGACCCACCCCGCGACCCACCCGCTACCCAGCCCGCGACCCACCCGCGACCCACCCGTGACCCACCCGCGACCCGGCCTACGACCCATCCGCGACCCACCCCGCGACCTACCCGCGACCCGGCCCGCGATCCACCCACATTGCTTTCACGAAGAACTGGCGCCTGCGGCGGGATCGTTGTATAATTTGTAAATATTAGGCGCCTGCGGCGGGCTTCTTCAAAGCCTCGCAGACTGCCGACGGCTCCGCCGCCCCCTCACTCTTATCCGCGCCTGCGGGGTGCTACGAATAATGTTTCGGAAGTCCGCGTGGATCTCTTGGATCGGCGCTGGAGCCCATGGCGGCGCCTCCGGCGCCGCCCCAGGGGCGCTCCGCGCGCCAGGGAGGGGCTCCTTGGGCGTGGACTTCGGCCCCCACCTGGTCCTCTTCTGTTTCAGCGTGTGGTAGTCGATGCCCAGCGGGACGGGCACCACCTCTCCGAGGGACGAGCATGCAGAGCCCGACGAATCGGAGGCGTGGTTAAGCCCCTCCTCCACTTCGTCATCCTCCCTGCTGCTGTGAGAGGCGAGGGGGAGGGGTGTGAGGGAGAATTGGCAGGGGAGGGAGTTCCCCTTCCCCTGCCCACCCACCTCAGGGGGAGGGCCCTCCCCTGCTCTCCCCCTCAGGGGAAGGGCAACAAGGCGAAGGACGGAGGGAGGGAGAGAAGGGGGGGAAGGAACGGAAGAGGAGATGGATGCACAGATGGATGGACGGATACAGGGGAGAGTGTGAAGGGGAGGGGATCTGGAGGGGAGGGCATCGTCCCCCAAGGCACTCCTGAGGGAGAAAGAGAAACACATAGTTATGTATATATACATATATCATTTGTATATATACACATACATACATACACCTTCCTAGACATATACATATCTATACAGCTATGAACATTGACTATCTGACCGTCGCCGTACTAATCCAGGGGGCCCAAGAGGCTTGCAGGGTGCTTTTCGGAAGGAGTTTCCCTCTTGGGGGCTGTTTTGGCGTCTCTTGGGGGCTTTGTGTCGCCTCTAGGGGAGCCTTTCGGGGGCCGTTTTGGTGCCCCCTCGGGCCGTCTTGGGCGCCTCTTGGGTCGTCTGGGGGCTCTCTTGGGCCGTCGTGGAGGCCTCTTGAGTGCCTCTTGTGCCGTATTGGGGCGATCTGGGGGGCGTCTCGGGCCGTCTTGGAGCGTCAGGAAGGCGAGAAGTTGTTAATGCTGAACATGTACGTTTTCGAGTTTGGCCTCTTCGGGCTCCCTTGGGAGGCCTCTTGGGGTGTCTTGGGGCGACAAGGGAGCCTGTGCGACTGCCTTGGGACCATCGTGGGCGGCTTGTAGCCCTCTCGGCCCAGCTTGGGGCCCTCTGGAAACCATCAGGAGCTGTCTTGGGCCCTCCAGGTGCGCTCGGGGCCCAGCGGCCCCCAGCGGGACGCAGGTCCAGCTAAACCAGTTATCTCTCTCTATACATATAGATATGTACAGATGTATTTCTATATATATATATACATGTTGGTACTCATTCGAGTTGTACCGCTACGTGTTTAAATATACACACATACGCATATATATATACATACACGTTCATCTATCCATCATGGTGACTATATGTATATGTATGTATGTATGTATGTATGTATGTATGTAGGTAGGTAGGTAGGTAGGTAGGTAGGTAGGTAGGTACGCTTGTGTGTGTTTATGCATGTGTGTATGCATGCATGTAAATGTTTGTAAGTGTATGTACATATATGTCGGTACGTCTGTATGTGTATGTATGTATGTACGTATATCTGCATACATATATATATATACACACGCAGAGAGAAATATAACAACAGAGATAGAGAGAGAGAGAGAGAGAGAGAAAGAGAGACCTTCTCGCCCGCCGCCCCCGTCTTCTCCTACTTGTCATCCCCCACTACTTGTTCTTATGAATCGCTCCTCCTTGTCGCACCACCAGTCGTGCTGGTAGGGCTGTCCAAGCGTTGTGCCTGAGACTTCGCACCGTTTACGACCTTGGAGCCTGAACCTTCCAAGAGCCACACGGATGATGGTGGGGCCGTTATCAAAATTGGGCTCTCGCCTTCGTTTCGCGAGCTCTCGTCTGAAGCAGGCCATAAGTACGCGGATGGAGGCCGGGGCCGTTTTCAAACTGATATGCCTGAGCATTTCCCTTAGGTCGGGCATGTCCTCCTACAGGCGGATTCTGGGCGAAACTTAAAAAAACAGTCAAACGATGACGAAAACAACCACAAAGTCACCAAGCATCGCCCCCCTGATTATGTTTTACCATTCGGGAATGTTCCTCCTTTTGAGGGGCACGCACGACCTAACATTTCCATTCAGAATGGGTTTCTCGCTTAAGATTATGTTGTTCCCATCCTACTTAAGGACCGCATCCCAGCAATAATTTCGAGCACCCGGACAAGTGCCAAAAGAGTGTCGAAACAGTGTCGGGCGAGTGTCTCCCAGGGCCCGACACGTGAAAACCATTGAGTTTCGGTACTTTTTTGGCGCTCGAAATTCTCTCTGGTGATCAAGGCTAAAATAGGTTGGAGCATCATAAGCTTAAGACTTCGTTCGAATACCATTGCCCGCGCAGTTATGGATGAGAGCGAGGGCGCGGCGGGGCCATCGGCAGTCGGCGAGGCTCTGCAGCAGCGCGGCGCAGGCGCCGACTTCTTCCACACACACTGCACAGCGAGCCCGCCGCAGGTGCCGACTCTGCGCCAAGGCAATGTGGGCGAGCCGCGGTTGGGTCGCGAACGGGTCGCGGGCGGCTCGCGGGTTGGTCGCAGGTGGGTCGCGCAGCGGCACGCAGGCGACGACAATCGGCGGCACGCCAAGGGGGGAAGCGAGAAGGGGCGGGACGTCTCAGAAGGCTCGGAAGTCCGCCTTCTGGCAAGTTTTCTGAGGCCTTCCCCGAGGACACCAGCAACTTCTCAGCAGGCAGGAGGGCTTCTGAGAAGACGCGCCGCCTGTCGAGAAGGCCTTCTCCTTCTCACTTCCCCCCCCCCCGGCTCGCCGCCCAAACAAGCAGCAAGAATCCTCACCGCGGAAGGCCCACTTCAGGCACCGCTCGGTCCGAATTCCACAGGCGTCGCTCGGGCGTTGGCAGAACTGGGTTTAGTGGGACCTGGTTTAGTGATTTGTATCGGGGGACGCCCCCCCCCCCGGCCCCATTTCACAAACCAAAGCTGCCGTCACCCGAAAAAACACCAGCTACGCCAGACCTGGTTTGGCGATTCTGGCCAATTTAGGGGCTCTG